TGGCTGCCCTCCCCCCTCCTGCCCGCACTCCGTGGTCTGCAGGCGGCTCTGCCCTTGACCTCGCCTGGCCTCTCCCTGGGAGCGCGGCGGCTGAGCTCGTCTCCCCTGCATTCATCCCGGGGCCGGTGGGGACTCCGAGGAGGCCGAGCCCCAGGCCGTCCACGGAGGCCAGTGCCCGCTGCCCGCTCCCCTCCCCTCCTTCCCCTCCCCCCTCCCCTCCTTCCCTCCCCCCTCCCCTCCCCCCTCCCCTCCCCCCTCCCTCCCTCCCCCCCTCCCTCCCTCCCCTCCCCTCATCTCCCGCCTCCTCCCTCCTCTCCCCTCCCTCCCCTCCCTCCCCTCCCCCCTCCCCTCCCTTCTCCTCCCCTCCCCTCCCCTCCCTTCCCCCTCCCCTCCCTTCTCTCCCCTCCCTCCCCTCCTTCCCCCTCCCCCCTCCCCTCCCTCCCTCCCCTCCCCTCCTCTCCCTCCTCCTCCCCTCCCTTCTCTCCCCTCCCCTCCCCTCCCTCCCCTCCCCTCCCCCCTCCCATCCCCTCCTCCCTCCCCTCCCTTCTCTCCCCTCCCCTCCCCTCCCCTCCCCCCCTCCCCTCCCTTCTCTCCCCTTCCCCTCCCCCTCCCCTCCTTCCCATCCCTCCCCTCCCTCCTTCCCCTCCCTCCCCCTCCCCTCCCCTCCTTCCCTCCCTCCCTCCCCTCCTTCCCCTCTCCCCTCCCCTCCCTCCCTCCCCTCCCCTCCCCTCCTTCCCCTCCCTCCCCTCCCCTCCTTCCCCTCCCTCCCCTCCCCTCCTTCCCCTCCCCTCCCCTCCTCCCTCCCTCCCCTCCCTCCCTCCCCTCCTTCCCCTCCCTCCCCTCCCCTCCCCTCCCCTCTCTCCCTCCCCTCCCTCCCCTCCCCTCCTTCCCCTCCCTCCCCTCCCCTCCTTCCCCTCCCCTCCCCTCCCTCCTCCCTCCCCTCCCCTCCCTCCCCTCCTTCCCCTCCCTCCCCTCCCCTCCCCTCCCTCTCTCCCTCCCCTCCCCTCCCCTCCCCTCCTTCCCCTCCTTCCCCTCCCTCCCCTCCCCTCCCCTCCCTTCCCTTCCTCCCCTCCCTTCCCCTCCCCTCCCCTTCCTTCCATCAGCTGGGACTCCCGGACCAGGTAAGGCCAGGAGCTGGGCGCAGGCTCTGTCCACGGGTGCCCTATGCTTGTTGTGTGGGAGGGGGCGGGATTGGGGCCAAGCAGCACCCAGGGGTCCCCCGGCTCTCGGGAAAGCACCCAGAGGCCCCACCGTGGTGTCTGCCTCACGTGCCACCTTAGGAGACTGTGTAGTGCTTTGCGAGGAGGAAGCCAGGCTTTGACCAAGGTGACAGAGGAGGCAGTGTGGTGCCAGGTGGGAGGCACGCAGGTCCCCCTGGGACGGGCTTCGGGCCCATGGACTGCAGAGCTCCGAGCTGCAGAGGCCGGCCCTGCCACCAGGGGGCTCTGGGCCGCCTACGATTCGCTGGAGGCCCGGGAGGGTGCGGCCTGGGTGAGGGGTGAGCCGTGGGTGGGGAGAGGGGGGCATTGGGTCCTGTGGGAGAGGCCGGGATCAGCTAGGACTGGCTTTGCCTGGTGGCTCCAGTGACGGCAGCTGAGGTGCAGGTGCGGTGGGGGACAGGGTGGCACCAGTAGGAAAGAGCGGAGAGGCCCGGCTGACGCCCAGCGGGGCGAGCACGGGTCCTGCCCACCCCCCCGGCCCCCATCTTCCTCGGCTGCAGAGGGGCCGGCGGCTGCCCGGGCGGGAGGCGTGGGTGAGAGGTGCCAGGCCGCAGAGCGCCCACCAGGTGTCAGCGGGCTGAGGGCGCTGTGGGGGAGCCTCGGGAGGCTGAGGGCCGAGTCCTGAGCCGGCCCTGGACGGCAAGACTGAGGCCAGACGGTGCGCTGTGTCCAGGTTCAGCCCGACCGTCCCCGGCGCCGGTGCCCGAGGGGTGAGAGGCGTGGAGGCCGCGGAGGCCGGAGCCCGAGGGGTGAGAGGCCGTGGAGGCCGTGGAGGCCGTAGCCCGAGGGTGAGAGGCGTGGAGGCCGGAGCCCGAGGGTGAGAGGCCGTGGAGGCCGTGGAGGCCGGAGCCCGAGGGGTGAGAGGCCCTGGAGGCCGTGGAGGCCGGAGCCCGAGGGTGAGAGGCCGTGGAGGCCGGAGCCTGAGGCGTGGAGGCCGTGGAGGCCGGAGCCCGAGGGTGGGAGGCCGTGGAGGCCGGAGCCCGAGGGGTGAGAGGCCCTGGAGGCCGGAGCCCGAGGGTGAGAGGCGTGGAGGCTGTGGAGGCCGGTGCCCGAGGGGTGAGAGGCCGTGGAGGCCGGAGCCTGAGGGGTGAGAGGCTGTGGAGGCCGGTGCCCGAGGGGTGAGAGGCCGTGGAGGCCGTGGAGGCCGGAGCCCCAGGGGTGAGAGGCCGTGGAGGCCGGAGCCCGAGGGTGAGAGGCCGTGGAGGCCGTGGAGGCCGGAGCCCCAGGGGTGAGAGGCCGTGGAGCGGTAACTCTATTCATGACCGTCTTAGCGGGAGGCCTGCACAGCCCCTGGAGGGGCGCTCGCTCCCATGGCCCGGAACCCGGCTCTGGCTGGGTGCTTAGAGTCAGAAGCAGTGTGTGTGTGTGCGTGTGTGCGTGTGTGCGTGTGTTGTTTGTGTGGTTGGTGTGTGATGTATGTGTGTGTGATGTGTGTGGTTGTGTGTGTGTGTGTGGTCTGTGTGGTTGGTGTGTGTGTGTGTGATGTGTGTGTGTGGTCTGTGTGGTTGGTGTATGTGTATGTGATGTATGTGTGTGGTCTGTGTGGTTGGTGTATGTGTGTGTGATGTGTGTGGTGTGTGTGTGTATGTGTGTGTGTGTCCCTGGCGTCACCCCACTGTGTCCGTCGGGGAGCAGAGCAGCCGCCTGTGTCTGGGCCTCATGGGACAGTACCCCAGCCGCTCTGACTTATGGAACTGTCTGGTCAGTGGCGTGCGGCCCGGCTGCTGAGGGACCCACGTCTGTGGAGTGGATGTCGTAGGCTCTGCCTCCCCACCGGCTCCTCTCGGGGTCACCCCGCGCTGTGAGCCACCCCGCCCGGCTGTCTCCGCGGACAGGTCTCCCGTTGGGACTGCTGTGCCGAGCTGACAGAGAATAGAGGTATGACTGATTCGCTCACACCCGACAGCTGCTGCTGTGTTGCTGTTTCATTTTTTAAAAACTTGACTGAGGGGAGAGGTCAGTGCCCCCGACTGGCCAGGGAGTGGTGTGCCAAGAACTCGCGGGCGCGGGCACACGGTCGCCCGGACAACCACCGTCCTCAGGCCATTCCAGGAAGAAAGGTCACAGGAACAGAAGGTTCACCTCCTTGTTGGCTCTGGGCGGGCCCACGGGCCTTCCCCGGAGCAGCTGCTGGGGAGCAGCTGCTGGTGGGCGGTGGGGAGGGAGTTCCATCTCCCGTCCGGGCTGCCCTCCGGGCACCGGAGGGGCTGCCGGTGAGAAGCCTGTTCTGCCGCCTCCGGCTGCGGCAGCTCTGCCTCTGCCCGCGCATGCGGCCGGCACAGCACTCTTCCGCTTGTCGCTTCTGGAGCGGAGGCCTGTTTTGCCAGAATCTGTCAGAGCCGACAGGAAACATGGCTGCCTTTCCACTAAGACCCCACACAGGGCAGACAAACCACTCCGGGCTCCACCAGCCCCTCGGGGCGGAACGAGCACCTGGCTGGTGTGGTTCAGTGGGCTGAGTCAGCCGTGCACGGGAAGGTTTGCGGTTTAACTCCTGGTGGGGGCCCGCGCCTGCTGGTGGGTGCTCCTGCCAGGGTGCGTGCAGGAAGCAACCATGTTTCTCTCAGTACAACAGCCCTAGCCGGCTGTGCTCAGTGCTAGATCACTGGCCCATGGACTGAACGGTCACGGTTCGATTCTGGTCAAGGGCCCGCACCTCATTGCGGGCTCAATCCCTGGCCTTAGTCGTGAGTGTGCAGGAGGCAACCAATCGATGTCTCTCTCTCACATTGATACTCCTCTCCCCCCCTACTCCAACTGGGCGAGACCCAGCGCTCTGGGCGTGATGGGTGATGCTGGCACTGGGAGGCAGAGGGGGTGCCATGTCCGGCCCAGACAACCGCTTCCAGGATCCTTGTTTGAGACGGACGCCAAAAGCAGAAACTCCAAGACCAGCAGCCTGGGCTGCGGGTACCCCACTCCCCGAGGCTCAGCACCGCCTGGCTGAGGCCCGGGAGCCAGGCGCACAGTGAGGCTCCACAAGGGTGACTGTTTTTCCTAACGGACACGAGCTCCATAGATTCTGGAGTGGAGGTCTGGAGCGGTGTGTGGCCGGCTGTCGAGGTGTCTTAGTGGAAAGGCAGCCACATTTCCTGTCAGCTCTGACAGATTCTGGCAAAATCATCTACACACACTGGGCTCTCTAGCCAAAGTGCCTCTACTCTTCATACGAGGAGACGCTGCAAGAGCAATCCTGTGTGACAACGAAGTGATATGCAAACTGACCGTCACACCCCACAAGACGGCTCCCATGACCAGGCTGGCGGCCGGTAGGGTGGGGGCAGTTGGGGCAATTAGGCCAGCAGGGGGAGCACTTAGGGGCTATCAGGCCAGCATGCAGACAGTGAGGGGTGATCAGGCTGGCAGGGGTGGGGGGTGGGGCAGTTAGGAGCGAGCAGGCAGGCTGGTGAGCAATTAGGAGCCAGCAGTTCTGGGCTGAGGCGATCCCCCCCGCCCCCATGAATTTTGTGCACCAAAATAGTCCTATATAATAAAAGGCTAATATGCAAATTTCCCCTTGGGAGTTCCACTGGGAGACCAGTTCAATCACTTGCTATGATGTGCGCTGACCACCAGGGGGCGGTGTGGAATGTGGCAGGTGACCAGGCGCTAAGGGAGTGAGGGAAGGAGGTGGTGGGGAGGCTGGGAGGCCGAGAACTGGATCGGCCCTGACCTCCGGCCACACCTAGGGACCCCACCTGTGTACGAATTTGTGCACAGGGCCTCCAGGGTAAGAATAAGGCTCCCTGTGTTTCCACTTGAAGAGCAGTGAGCGGTATATTCTGTTCAGGAAGCATTTTATTGTTGCTCCAAGTTTGACATTTCCACCAAGAAACTGCGTTCAGAACACTTCCCGCATGGCCTTGCTCAGCTTCTGGATCTTGGTTTTCGCAGACATGTCAACGTACTTCTCTCCGATGCGCACAATCATGCCGCCCATGATGGACGGGTCCGTCTGGGGGGAAACGGGATGGGACGTGAAACACACGACCCTGCGCCAGCACATGGAGCGCCGAGCAGCCCCTCCCAGGCCACGGGTGCCGACGGAGCCGTGAGCACACCCAAGAGGGGAGTCAGCTGAGGGCACTGGGCAGCATTCCGATGGGAATGCCAGGTCCCAGGACGGCCCCCCGCAACAAACCTACCTTCACCTCCAGCTTCAACACCTGGCCTTTCCCCAGGAAGCTTTTCAGGACCGTCTTCAACTCGGTCAGAGAGGCTTCGTCCAGAGCCTGGAGAGGAACATGACAACCCTCTTTACCTCAGAGGAAGCAGAGTGGACACTTCCCGCAGGCCCCCCATCACCCCGGGAGGCCCCCTCACCCCCCCCCGCCCCGGGAGGCCCCCTCACCCCCCCCCTGCCCCGGGAGGCCCCCTCACCCCCCCCCCCCGCCCCGGGAGGCCCCCTCACCCCCCCCCCACCGCCCCGGGAGGCCCCCTCACCCCCCCCCCGCCCCGGGAGGCCCCCTCACCCCCCCCCCGCCCCGGGAGGCCCCCTCACCCCCCCCCCCGCCCCGGGAGGCCCCCTCACCCCCCCCCCGCCCCGGGAGGCCCCCTCAACCCCCCCCCCGCCCCGGGAGGCCCCCTCACCCCCCCCTCCGCCCCGGGAGGCCCCTCACCACACCCCCCCCATCACCCGGAGGGCCCCCTCACCCCCCCCCCCGCCCCGGGAGGGGGCCCCCTCACCCCCCCCCATCACCCCGGGAGGCCCCCTCACCCCCCCCCCGCCCCGGGAGGCCCCCTCACCCCCCCCCCACCCCCGGAGGCCCCTCACCCCCCCCATCACCCCGGAGGCCCCCTCACCCCCCCCCTCCGCCCCGGGAGGCCCCTCACCCCCCCATCACCCCGGAGGCCCCCTCACCCCCCCCCCCGCCCCGGGAGGCCCCCTCACCCCCCCCCGCCCCGGGAGGCCCCCTCACCCCCCCCCGCCCCCGGAGGCCCCCTCACCCCCCCCCCCCGCCCCGGGAGGCCCCCTCACCCCCCCCCCATCACCCCGGGAGGCCCCCTCACCCCCCCCCCCCGCCCCGGGAGGCCCCCTCACCCCCCCCCCACCCCCGGAGGCCCCCTCACCCCCCCCCCCGCCCCGGAGGCCCCCTCACCCCCCCCCCACCGCCCCGGGAGGCCCCCTCACCCCCCCCCCCACCGCCCCGGGAGGCCCCCTCACCCCCCCTCCGCCCCGGGAGGCCCTCTCACCCCCCAACTGCCCCGGGAGGCCCACAGCCCCGGGAGGCCCACAGCCCTGAGAGGACAGCAGCCGTTTTTCCCTCTTCACGGGTGTGAGAACTGAGGTTCACAATGGCTAAGAGACTCACTTCCCGTGTGATACCCACTTCCTGTGTGTGAGACCCTCCTCACATGTGTGAGAACTGAGGCTCACGGTGGCTAAGAAACTCACACAAGGCTGCCCAGGGAGTGAGGACCAGCGCCAACATTTGAAATCAGTCTATTTCTGAAGCCGATGCCCTTAGTCGCTGATCAAAATGTATGTTTTATTAAAGAGCAGAGCGGCCTGCCCCGGGCCTGGCCATGGACAGGGCGGCCCTCGAGCCGGTAAATGTCCCTGAAACTGGCCCGGCCAGGCTGCAGCATCGTCCTGCTACGCCAAGGCTGCGTGTTCCATCTGAGGTCAGGGCACACAGGAGCCGACCACTGGAGGCGCGAATAGGTGGAACCACAAACCCACGTCTCTACACCAATGAACAGACGAAGCGGGATGGATGTCCCCGACACCGCCCGCCGGGAGACGCAGAGCCGTGCGGCCCAGGAATGGCGCCGGGAGGCCAGGCGCAGGCCCCAGCACACGGCGCGCCTTCCAGGGCCAAGTCCCACCGACCGTCTCCTGCCCCGAAGCGCAGCAGGAAGACAGACTCAGACAAGACAATGAACTCTGGGGGGTGGGGGGGGCAGCCGAAGGAGCACGGGCTTCTAAGAGAGGTCTGAGTTCGAACCCGGGCTTCGCTGGTTGTGACCAGAACAACTTAACCTCCCTGGCTGTTTCCCTGCCTGTAACCTAGAGAGAACCATACTTCTAGTTCGCATGGACCGCGGACAATAAGTTACAAGTACCCAGCACACGGAAGGTCTCAGCAAATGGCGGCTCTGACAGCCCACGCCATCCAGGCAGCAAGAGTAAAGGGCCCGTGTGCCCCACACTCCCCTTCTCCCCAGGCTGGACACCGAGTCTCAGAAAACTACAGAGAACTCACACCCGATCCGGAGCACAAACCCAGCACCTCGGCCCCGGCCCCGGCCTTAGGGCAGCCCCGGGCAGGGAGGCGTGAGGTGCGCGGCCGCTCCGGAGTGCAGCTCGCGGAAGCTGGCGGACAGGGCAAACCTCCAGGGACGGGTCACCTTCCCCCGGGCAGTGATTTTCGCCCGTTTTTTCCTTTTTGTTCTGCCAAACGCCAGGCACGAGATGGCAGGCGAGCGCCGCGGCCACCGCCCTCACTCACAGACGCGGTGGTCACGGTGCACGGGACTTCTCCCCGGTGGACACTCATCATGGTGGAAAAGGCAGAGATGACGGCAGGGGTGCTGGTCAGGCGGCCATTTTCAGCGAGCAGATCTGGGGAAGGGAAGGTGTGTCAGTCACTGGACACGCACTTAAAACGGTCACCCCTGGGTTTACGGTCCCCTCCGAAGCATCTTTTGTGGCCTGAGAATGTGCGTTTAGCTCTAGCTGGCTCAGTGGACAGCACTGGCCTGCGGACTGAGAAGCTTGGGTTCTACTCCGGTCAGGGCACATGCCTGGTTGCAGGCTTGATCCCCAGTAGGGGGTGTGCAGGGGGCAGCTGATCAATGATTTTCTCATCCGTGATATTTCCATTTCTTTCTCTCCCCTCCTCCTTTCCTCCCTGAAATCAGTAAAAATATATATTTTAAAAATATTTTTAACTCTCTTTAAGAATGTGAATGGCGATGATGTAATTGTTATTCAATGTTAGTTTGTTTTCTTAAAGGAGACTTTACCAACCTGCATTCAAATTAGTAAGGGGTGTGTGCCTTACCCAGATTTGCAACAGATGCCTATTTGCTTAATCCCTTCACCTCTCAGCCAGCCCATAGTGCTAACTGGCATCTCTGCCTGGTGATGGCGAGTCTCTTTTTGTGTGTATTTGCCATCTGCAAGCTCTCTCTGGAGAGGTGTCCACTCAGGTCCTTTGCCCGTTTTTTAAATTGGATTGGTTTCTTGATGTCGAATTGCATCAGTTCTTCACAGATTTTGGATATTGACCTGTCGGATGTATCGCTGGTGAATATGTTCTCCTACTCAGTGGCTTGACTTTTAATTTTGTGGATGGTTTCTTTGCTGTGCAAAAACTTTTAATTAAGTTTGAAGCAGCCCCACTTTTTATTTCCCTTTTCCCAAAAAACATATCGGAAAAAATAGTGCTACAAGAAATGCCCGAGACTTCTATGTTTTCTCCTAAGATTTTATGGTTTTGAGTCTAACACTAAGTCTTTAACCCTTTTTGAGTTTATTCTTGTGCATGGGGTAAGAAGATGGTCTAGTGTCCTTCTTTTTGCCTGTATCTGTCCAGTTGTCCCAACACCATTCATTCAATACATTATCTTTACCCCACTGCATGTTCTTGCCTCCTCTGTCAAATATTAATTGGCCATAAAGGATGGGTTTATTTCTGGGCTCTCTACTCCGTTCTATTGATCTAAAGGTCTGTTTTATGCCAGTGCCAGGCTGTTTTGATTATTCAGGGTCTTTTTTGGTTCCATACAGATTTTTGGAGTATTTGTTCTTGTTCTATGAAATCTACCGCTGGCATCTCAATAGGAACTGTGCTGAATGTGTACATTGCTTTGCCTAGTATGGACATTTTAATGACATTAATTCTTCCTATTAATGAGCATGGTATATGATCTACTCGTATCTTCCTCAATTTCTTTCTTGGTGTCTTATAATTTTCTAAGTATAGGTGTTTTACATCCTTGGTTAAATTTATTCCTAGTTTTTTTGTGTGTGTTTTCTTTTTTTTTAATATGACTATAAATGGGGTTGTTTTCTTAGTTTGTCTTTCTGACAGTTCATTATTGGTGTATAAATATGCAAGTGATTTCTGAATATTTTGTATTCTGCTACTTTACTAAGTTAGCAGTTCTAGTAGTTTTTTTGGTGGGACTTTTAGGGTTCTCTCTCTCCACAGTATTGTGTCATTTACAGGTAATATTTTTCTCTTCTCGTTTCCAATTGCAAGCCTTTCTGTTTTTTGTCTGGCTGCGGTGGCCAGGCCTTCCAGCGCTCTGCTGGATCAGAGAGGTGAAAGCAGACACCCACCTTGTTCCTGCCTTTAAGGGCAATGCTTTTAGCTTTTGCCCGCTGAGTATGATGTTGGCGGTAGGCATGCCATATATAGCCTTCATTGTACTGAAGTACGTTCCCTCTATTCCCACTTTGCTGCGTTTTAATCATAAATGGCTGCTGGATTTTAACCCTTCGATTGGTTTAGGTGCTGAATCACATCAATTTATTGCGTATATTGTACCAGCCTGCACCCTGGACTAAATCCCACTTGGCCGCAGCGTATGAACTTGTGTTGTGTTGACCAGGGGGTGTGGAAGAAACCTGTGAACCAGGACAGAGGGACAGCCAGGCCACCACTCTGTCTGTTGGTGTGACTCCCACTGGGGGCCCCGTGGGTTGAGATACTGACATTAGACATTCTTACTTCTCAGCATCTTTAGCCAGTGCCCCTCAAACCTGAACCCACAGACGGAGAATCAAGGACAGCCTGGGTGAGGCCTGACTCCTTGCCAAGGGCAGCTGGCACCCATGTGCCTGCCCTGGCCCGCACCCCACAGTGAATCCCCACAGCGAATCTGCAGAGACTCGGGAGAAAGATCTAGTACTTACTGATCAGGTTGGACGTGAGGGGAGAAAACTTCTCTTTGCTGGTTATGTCATTCAGGCTTTTCACTTTAATAGAACGCTTTGTAAAGGGATTCAAAATTGAAGCAGCCATTTTGGGTTCCTTCAGGATTTGCTAAAAGTGCCAAAAAAGAATTTCTCAAGTTCTTTAGAGCATCAACGATCCCAGCTGCCATACACACACTTCTTATGAATCAGAATTTCATGAATTAAATGGGCACTCTTAAAGCACAAATAACAGTTTACAATCAAGTCATTTCTCTGCCTTTAAGAACACATTACACCGTGATTTCACACAGGAGACACTATTTCTTTAGAAAATGTAGACACTTTTTGAAATCTCTTAAAATTAACTGTTGCTTTTCGACAGACTATAAAAACGGTAAGCACCCAAAGATCCAGTTCACTGCGTATTTAACATGGGGACTGCCCTAGTTTCTCACGTACTGAGAGGACACTAGCCATGCCAGCACTCAGGTGCAGACCTCAACGGTGCCACCCCCGGAGGGGCCTGTGCGTCTCAGCCGGACCCTCTGTGCCACCTCTCAGAGCTCGAGAGCCAGCCCAGCCCGGGCGTGTGGTGCTTCCGAACAGCCTCCCCGCCTGGAGGGAGGGCAGGGGAACAGGAGTGCAGGCACCAGAGCGCCTTTGTCTCCCCTGGGAAACCACACGCCTGGACCCCGTTACCAACGCTGCTTCCCTGTCACACCCCTGCCTGCCCGCCCTCCCTCGGTTACTGCGTCAGCAGCTTGTCCCTGGCACCCGCCTGGGGCCCGTCTCTGACCCGCTGCCATCTCAGGAGAAACTGCCAGGTGGTGCCCCGAACACACATTCTTCCCGAGCCGTGCTGGGTGACACACAGGCAAGTGTCCTGGGTCTGGGCTGCCCAGTGGACATTGGTGCTACCCTTAGCACCACCCTTCTCTCTCTCTCTCTCTCTCTCTCTCTCTCTCTCTCTCTCTCTCTCTCTCTCTCAGTCTGAAGGCAAGGGAGTCCTCTCTGTGTCTCCCGGGGCTTCCGGGTTTAGCCAAACCCCATCCCACAACCCAACTCGTTCGCTAAGGGAAGAAAATACAGTTGCAACGTAGTTCGTAACGGGCAGGAAAGCTACTTACTGCTACTCTTGCCAACTCCTTTTCTACTTGATCCAGTTTATTCTGTTTGGACGCAGCGGAGTACAGAGCAGTGGCATAGCGGCCTTCGACACCGTATATCTGAACAGGCGGCTATAAAAGAAGGTGGGGCGGGGGACAGCAGGAAAATCAGTTAATACTGTGTCAGTGGCAGAATTAGACAGTTGAAACTTTAAGAAGACATCTTCTGTGGCATACGAGGTGAACTGTGCTGCCAGAGAGCTTTCCTGAATGGCAATTCTCAGGGTCGAAGTCCTTCCCGGCCGGTGGATCTCTGAACCTCCCGCTCCTCCCGCAGAACGGGGCCTCAGGAGAGACCGGCCCAGCACCCCTTTCGGCCTCACTCCCTAGAATCACGACCGTTGCCTGGGAGACGGTTGGCTTCCTCTGGATGCTATGCTATTCAGTTCCAAGTATGGGAGGTTTTATCACCGATGGGAGGCAGTTTGAACATGTGAGAGCCACGAAAGCAGGTGTTTATGAAACATGTAAAGCACACTCCGTGCATGTCACAGGAATGCTCTCTTAGAGCGTCCTCACCAGTGGTGCCCGTTAGCCACTGACTATGTGCCTGCAGCTGGACGTGTTTCTCACAGTGCCTGCAGGCTTCCTCTCACCGGCCTCAGAGCACCCCCCCCCCCCCCGGGGTGCTGAGCGGCTGCGGAGAGCAGCTCAGGCTCTGGACGAGGTCTGGTTCCAGGGCAATCCAGGACCAAGCTGAGGGACTCGGGACAAGGCCTCCCGGAGTCTCCATTTCCTCCTGTGAATGGGAAGGCCAGCTACTCCCCATCCTCGTTCCGGGGTTCAGGGATCCCCTTGTTCCGGGGTTCAGGGATCCTCCTGTTAAAGGTTACGTGTGTGCCTGCCGCACAGGTTCCGGAGCCCCATGCACACACGCCGGGCCCTCACACTATGGCTGCTTCACAACCACAACCAGGAAGCTGACCTACCCGCACGAGCTTGGCGAACGGCCGGGCCACAGACGTGCTGAAGCATCGCACCTGTGAAGCAAAGGAAAGCAGGTGAGGCTGGGGTACTCGAGGGCGGCCTACACGAAGCCAGTCAGTCATTGAACAGGAGGTCCTCCTGCTGCTGGTGTCAGCACAGCCTCAGGGAGGCCGCTGCTCTTCGCCAGGAGACTTTCCCGCGGAGAGCGCGCCAGGCCCGCTGCTGGGAAACTGCCCTCCCAGGGCCAGCCCGTCTGCGGGAGCCGAGCCTTCTCAGGATGCAGCGCCGCCTGGGGACCAGGCTTGGCCCGGAGCAGGGGGGGTGTGAGAACGGCTCCGGGTCCGAGGGCAGTTCAGCCGCGGAGGGACGGCCCCCGGCAGGGCCACGGGCCCCTTCACACAGCCCGGCCCGCAGTTCACCGGGAACCGGCGGTGAGGACGGTGACGCGGGGACGCGGGGGGGGGGGGGGGGGGGGGGGGAGTCAGAGGTCAGGGCGGGGCCGGCGGCGCCGGGCGAAGAGCAAGGAGGGCGCGGGCTCCCTCTCCATCTCCCGAGGCTCCGGGGTCCGGGCCCCAGCTCTGCCCTGACCGGCGGGCAGGAAGGACCCGGAGCCGCGCCGCCTCCCTTTCCTGGGAAGACGGACGATCGGGGGCGGCCCCGTCCTCAGCCCGCCACCCGCGGAAGCCGGCGCCCAGCTCCGAGGCCTCACGCCTGCGGCTGCCGGGGCCGCTGGAGGCGCCGAGGCCCGGCCCGCGCCCCCCGCCGCCGCCCCGGGGTGCGGTGCGCGGCCTCGCGCCGCCCCCACTCGCCGGCCCCACGACCCTGAACGCGGCCGCGCCCCCGCTGTGGCTCTCGGGCCCGGCCGGTCACCGCGGAGGCTCCTCCCGCCGCCTCCCAGGCCCCGCCGCCTCACCTGCCGGGAGAGCCCGGACACCGCGGGCGAGGCCATCTTCTCCGCCGCTGGAGGTCAAACCGGCTGGGCGGGAGCTGCGAGGGCGCATGCGTGCGTCAGCGTGGCCGCGCGGCCCGCTGGGAAATGTAGGCGTAGGGCATCAGGCCGCATGCGCCGGGTGCTCCCTCGCGCTGGGAGTTGTAGTCCTTCGAGGCGGGAGGTACCCTACCATGACATCTGGACTTTCATCTTTTATGCTAAGGTGACCAGACATCCCGCTTTTGGCGGGACAGTCCCGATTCTGAACAATTTGTCCCGCGTCCCGCAGCGTTTTAAACAAGTCCCGATTTTTGGCCGGCACTTTTTAAAATATATATTTTATTGATTTTTGTACAGAGAGGAAGGCAGAGAGATAGAGAGCTAGAAACATTGATGAGAGAGAGTCATGGATCAGCTGCCTCTTGCACACCCCCTACTGGGGATATGCCCCCAACCAAGGTACATGCCCTTGACCGGAATCGAATCCCAAGCCGACGCTCTATCCATTGAGCCAAACCGGTTTTGGCTGGCCGGCGCTTTTTTAAAACACCATGGGACAAAAGAGACAAATTGTTAAAAATTGGGACGTCTGGTCACCTTATTTTATGATGACTTTTGATTTAAAACAAATATTTCTCGCTGTTTTATTTCCTCGTGCCACGTACGTGTGTCAGGAGCCCTCAATTGCATATGTTTTAAGAAATCTGGGGAAGGTTAACGTGCAAAATGTTCACGGCACTCACTTTAAAACCGTGAAAAATCGGAAACTAACGTCTGCGGGTAGGAAAATGGCTTTTTAAATTGTGTGGCAATTTGTGTGGCAATTAAATTGTGTGACCGGTGTGGCTCAGTGGATAGAGCATCAGCCTGTGGACTGAAGGGTCCTGGGTTCGATCTCAGTCAAGGGCATGTGCCTTGGTTGCAGGCATATCCCCAGTGAGGAGTGTGCAGGAGGCAGCTGATCAATGTTTCTCTCTCATCGATGTTTCTAACTCTCTATTCCTCTCCCTTCCTCTCTGTGAAACATCAATAAAATATATTTTTAAAAAATTGTGCAGCCATTACAGTGAGATTGGCCACGCATATTCAGGGACATGGGAAATACTTAACGACACTGAAGAAAAACCCACAAACCCCCTTCTTTTCCTACAACGTGCACGTGGCCCTGCCCCGTCAGAAGGAGAGAAAGGCTGCCCGGGGCTGCCCGGCACGCTGGGCCTGGAGGCTCCGGCTCTGACAGCTCAGCTCCTGGGCGGCCCCTGCTTCAGGCAGACGAGGTCCCTGCGGCCCTCCGTCTCCTTCCACAGCTGCTCCACGGCTGCTCCACGGCCGGCATCAGTGCACACGCCACCGCCTGGAGCACATGTCCTTTTCCTCATGCCTACTTAAAAAAAATGACTTTTAAATGAGAGAGTGGGACATGGGTCCGCTGCCTCCTGCACCCTTTCTTGAAACCTATGGGGCCCCCTTTGGGGATGGAGCCATCAGCCTGGCCTGTGTCCTGACCTGGGACTGAATCGGCAGCTTTGGGTGCAGGGGCCGATGCCCAACTGATGGAGGCCCAGGGGCCAGGGCTCTTGGTTAAATGATTAAATTTGTTGGGGACAACATTGGGTAACAGCATCATATAAGTCCCAGGGGTGCCCCATCACAATCTGACACCCACATACTCGATGGCGTGCTCCGCACCCCGAGTCCAGTCTCCCTCTGTGGCCACGGACCGGACCCCTCACTGCCTCCTCCTCCACCCCCGCCCCCTCGGGCAGCCACACCGGCCGCCTGTGCCTATGACTTTGTTTCTTCCGTTCACTGCCTTCTGTTTTATGTCCCACCTGAGCGAGACCAGAGGGTCTTGTCTCATTCCTCTGGCTCACGTCACGTAGCAGGATGTTCTCAAGTATTCATCCTTCTCGTGGCCGAGTGCACTCCATGGTACACCGGTGTCGGCGCCACGTCTGCTCCAGCCAGGCGGCCATCCCTCCGAGGACACCCGGGCTGTTTCCGTGCCGTGGCGGTTGTGAACACGCTGTGAAGAACACGGATATACACGTGTGTTATTCACCAGGTACTTATCTCGGAGGAAGTCTGCATCCGTGTCTGCCCTTTTCCCTCCGATCCCCCAGGAGAAGCAGGGCCACTCCCGTCCTGGGCCCAGGCTGCAGCCCATGGAGCCTTCACACGCAGCTCAGGCTGACCTTCAGCACAGGGAATGGCCTTGGCGCCTTCTACACGGTCCCTGTGGCCTCGCCGGGTAAGGGGGCGTGGGCAGTCTGCCGACCGCAGAGGCTTCTGAGTGGGCTGACCGAGATTCGAACAGGAAGAAGTGTTGCCCGGCCGGCGCGGCTCAGTGGCTGAGAGCTGACCTCTGCACCAGGAGGTCACGGTTCGATTCCAGATCAGGACACGTGCCGGATTGCAGGCTTGGTCCCCGGAGGGGATGTGCAGGAGGCAGCCGGTCGATGATTCTCATCATTGATGTTTCTCTCTCTCTCCTTCCCCTTCCACTCTCTGAAATAATAAAAACATCTTTTTTTAAAAAAGGAAAAGTGTTAAAGAGAACTGGCAGTGCGGTTCCTGGAGCCTTTCCCTTTTTAAAAACATGTGTTTTTTGTTTTGTTTTTTAAATATGACCGTCGGCTGACACTGTTCATCCTGAGGATCTGGCCCAGGAGCACACAAACACGCACAGGGCCCGGGGTGTGGGGCTCCGGAGAAGCGGCGGCAGGAGGGCTCGGCACCATGGCAGGACCGGGGTGACGGGAGGATCCCGGCCTCCTCCCCGCTTCTCCTCCAGGCCCTGGCGCTGCGCTCACCTGCAGCCTCACCTCCTCCCTCTGCTCTCAAGGTCATGCTGACCTCCCTGGACGCGGCTCTGGAGGAGCGTCCGGCCACCAGGGGGCGCCGCCTCCCCGCGCTGTGGCAGCCGTGGCCTGGGCTGCGCTTCTTTCCAGAGCTTTCTCCCTGCCACCTCCCCTTCATCCCTGCTCCGAGGCGGAGAGTGTGACTGACGGCCCCACGCTCCAATCAGGTGACTGACAACTCCACGCTCCAATCAGGTGCGCCAGCCAGGCTCTTTGCTGTGGGGCCCACACGGGGTGTGTGTGTGTGTGTGTGTGTGTGTGTGTGTGTCTGTGTGTCTGTGTGTGTGTCTGTGTCTCTGTGTGTGTCTGTGTGTGTGTGTGTCTGTGTCTCTGTGTGTGTCTGTGTGTGTGTGTATGTGTGTGTGTATGAGTGTGTATGAGTGTGTGTATGGGATGTGTGTGTGTGTGTCTATGAGTGTGTGCGTGTCTGTGTGTGTGTGTGTGTGTGTGTGGGTGGTTGTGTGTGTGAGAGAGTGTGTGTGAGTGTGTGTGTCTCTGTCTGTGTGTGTATCTGTGTGAGTGTGTGTGTATGTGTGTGTATGTGTGTGTGTATGAGTGTGTATGAGTGTGTGTGTGTGTGTGTGTGAGTGTGTGTATGAGTGTGTGTGTGTATGTGTGTGTGTATGAGTGTGTATGAGTGTGTGCGTGTCTGTGTGTGTGTGTGTGTCTGTGTCTCTGTGCGTGTCTGTGTGTGTGTGGGTGGGTGGGTGTGTGAGTGTGTGAGTGTGTGTGTGTATGAGTGTGTGTGTATGAGTGTGTGTGTGTGTGTATGAGTGTGTATGAGTGTGTGTGTGTCTGTGTGTGTGTGTGTGGGTGGTTGTGTGTGTGTGAGTGTGTGTGTGTGTCTCATTCCTGCCAGGACCCCGCCCTCCGCACCCCCACGTGACAGCCTTCTCCCCACTCCACCCCCCGGGGCTCAGCCCTCACCTGCACGCAGCCTGGGGGCACCCCCAACCCCCTCGTCCCCGGCCCTGGGCACCGGCCCACAGGCTCCGCGGAGACTGGGGGGTGGGGTGGGGATGGGAAGGTGGGGTGTGGGGTTGGGGGGAGCGGAGCTCAGCTTCTCTGGCACAGGCCCCCCTGGGATGGGCAGTTCCGGGGAAGCCCTGCCTGCAGAGGGCGCCCTTGGGGGAGAGAGAGCACACGGGGAGGGGTGCGGACAGAGCCTCCGCCGCTGTTACTGCCCGTGGGCACTGCCACCGAGTCCCAGCCGGCAGCCTTCCCAGGCCTGGGCGTCGGGGTCTGGGTGCTCCCCCTCCTGGGTGCTGGCCCCTCCTGGATGCCCGGGGTCTGGGTGCTGGCCCCTCCTGGATGGCCGGGGCCTGGGTGCTGGCCCCTCCTGGGGCGCCTGGGGTTTGGGTGCTGGCCCCTCCTGGGTGCCTGGGTTCTGGGTGCTGGCCCCTCCTGGATGGCCGGGGCCTGGGTGCTCCCCCTCCTGGGGCGCCTGGGGTTTGGGTGCTGGCCCCTCCTGGGTGCCTGGGTTCTGGGTGCTCCCCCTCCTGGGTGCTGGCCCCTCCTGGATGCCTGGGGTCTGGGTGCTGGCCCCTCCTGGATGGCTGGGGCCTGGGTGCTGGCCCCTCCTGGGCGCCCGGGGTTTGGGTGCTGGTCCTTACTGGGCGCCCGAGGTCTGGGTGCTCCCCCTCCTGGGCACCCCGGATCTGGGTGCCTGTGGCGGGCGTTTGGTCTGACTGTCTTCCCAGAGAGGAGCCGCCCTGCGGCGTCAGCCCGGGTCGAGTCCCAAATGCCGCTCACCAGCGGTGCGGCTTGGGTGAGTCCCCTACGCTCCGTGCCTCGGTTTCCCCGCGGGGAACGGAGCTGGGGCAGTGCAGACGACGCGTGCACACCTGCAGGGCTCATCTCGGACCCCACACTGACCGGCCTCGCCCAGAGGCAGTGAGCCGGGGCCTCCTGTGGCTGCTGCTGGCCCTGCCCCTGGAGTGGCTCGGAGCCACCGGGAGCTTCGCCAGCCTCCGAGGCCGGGAGGTCCCGGTCACACCCGCCCGCTTCAGGGGGCTCGGGGTGCAGGGGGTCGGGGTGGGCCCATCGGGACTGGCGGAGGGAGACAGAGGAGAGGTGGGTCAGGCAGCTCCAGGGGCACCGGCACAGCCGGCGCTGAGCACCGTCCACTTAAATGTAAACGAGGGCCCGCCGCGGGGCTTGGGTGGAGCGCTGGCCTACGGACAAGAGGTCAGGGTTCGATCCGGTCAGGGCACAGGCTCCATCCCCAGTGTGGGGCGTGCGGGAGGCAGCGGTCCATG